GAAGGCGTTCTCATTAACACAATGACAGCAACTCGCATAGTTTCTCAAACAATCATGAAGGCTTCAGAAATCTCTCGATGTACTAATGTAGGACCTCCGCCACCTGGTTTTAACCAAGGACCAGGACAGCAGCAACAAGGTTCGATACGTTCATTTGATACTCTTGATGCCTTCTCACTACACAATGACAGCAACTCGCATAGTTTCTCAAACAATCATGAAGGCTTCAGAAATCTCTTGGAAGTCGGAAAGAGATGAATTTATCTTGAAATGAAAAAACTAATGTAGGGCAGAAGGCATCAAGAGTATCAAATGAACGTATCGAACCTTGTTGCTGCTGTCCTGGTCCTTGGTTAAAACCAGGTGGCGGAGGTCCTCCTGCCGGATATGGATTCTGATACTGGGGATTGTAGCCAGGCTGACCGTAAGGTCCTGACATCGCTGGAAAATTAGAAATTATGGTTTTATTCAAAAGTAAAGCAACTACACGATGTGAACGACAACAAAACCAAAACCACACGAGCAGACCACAATTCCTACAAAAAAGTGTTAATGAGTATCATTTGGGGACTTCTTCATTTAGCAGCTCTACCAAGCTCTTCTTTCCAGATTGATTACAAATGGGCGCTTTCAACGCTAATTCTTCAGAGCTTCAGAATTTGTTTGAAGAGCTCGCTAACACTTCGCTCTGACCGCACGAACAAATTATTCGCGCGACTTCAGTGACAAAATCGCGAAGTGTGAACACCTCTACTACTCACACGAACTCGTGGCACTATTCAAAGCGTTTTCGAGATTTTCGAATACTCTTTCTATTTATTTGTTCATGCTAAACTTCAGGGTGCATTCCTCAAAGAAGTAAAAGAGAACCAGAAATAAATTGTTAGGTTGAGGAATAACTTCATGCTATTTTCACACGCTCTTTTACAATAAATTTTTTTTTGGATTTCAACAAAACGTTTTTTTGATAAAGCTTTTCCGCTCCATAAAGTGTTTATTGGTTTTTTTCCACGACTTTTTGAAAATTATCTTTGGTTTGATTTTCATGGAAGAAGAAATTACTGAAACAGCCCAGGTGTGCAAGGTCCAGAGGATACGGTGACTGCTGGAGGACCACCTATTCAAGCTCTCATAGTGTAGCTTTGAAGACTTGTGCAATATGGGAACTGGCATTGTCGTCAAGGAAGGTTTGGCTTCGTCGATGGCTTTTCACTCAAATAGCCTCTGTCTCGCGTGTAGCTGGTCTGTGTATAGCTCGTTGTTGACAGTGGCATTCCTTCAAGGCGATTCCCTGGGCGCCATGCCCACCCAGTCCCACTGACCAGAGATTATGAAACGGAGATCTGTTGTGTATGGGTAATTGGAACTCAGTTTCCAATCTTTTAAGTTCGGATAACTTATGTGTAACATCTCGGGTTGAGATGGGGCCGTGGCAATGATGTAAGTACCTGAGCAGGACCACGGTGCGTAATAAATGGGATGCATCTGGCGATATCCCTATCATCCTTAGGTACTTGAGGTTCCCTCACGAGACCCTAGACTTTGGCCACGCCCCCATCTACTGTCGATCCGTTGGCTGATCGAGCTGATCAGTCATTCTGGAGTTTTGCCGAACTCGCGGGAGGTGAG